AAATGATAATTGTTATAGAAATAAAAAAGTTATAGAAAAGATAATGAAAGATATAGTGAATATCGAGAGTCAGAAAATACTATATTTATTATCTTTTCAATGAATAGTTTTTTTTTAATTATATGTTTTTCATACTAATTGAATAATTTAAAAAAAAGTTAAGAAAAGAATGATTTAATACATTATTTCAAATCATTATATAACATAATCTAATTATTTGTAAATTAAGAAAGTAATTTGTTTGTAATGTAAATGTCAAATAAAAGTTGATAATTTGATATATTCATTTCATCATTTTAAATTATATCATAAATATATAATAGAACTAATTCGTATTTTAATAAATAATTATATTATTAAACAAAGAAGTTATCATAATTTTAATTAAATTAGAAATAGTAACATTAAAACATTAAAATTAATTCATTCTTCTTATCATACAATACATAAAAAGAAAATTGGAATATCATTCATGTTTAACATTCAACACAATCAATCATTCAATTATTAAAAATAAAATTAATATGTTAGTATTCTTCAACTAATTAATTCATTTTTATCATATATGAAATATAATTGAAATAGTCATTACAACTAGATTATCAAATTGAAGTTATTTAATTATATCTGAAATATTATTAAATTGAAACATTCTTTATTTTGTTTATCATAATCACAACCAATAGATTCTAATTCAATTAACTAAGTTATTGATTTCATTAGATTAAATTTAGAATGAATAGAGATAGTGAATAAAATAAAGAAAGATATAATAAAAATAAAATAGAAATGAAAACATATTCATTCAGTTCATATTAATTAATAAGAGTCATGATAAAGAAGATTAAATGAAAAATTATTTAACTTATATATTATCTAAATATAACTTTAAACAAACAATTCATTTTTGAATTAGTTATGTTGGTGTTTGATGTTATTATTTAAACAAACTTTCATTTATCTTTGAAATATGAAATTGTAGAAAATCAAATAGAAAATATTCAAAAGGATTGAATTAAAAAGTGTTAACAATCCCAAATATAGCCAACCCGAGTAAAGTTGCATGCTTTAAGATCTTCTAAACTAATAAGGAAATTAGCAGTACCAGAATCTCCCCACATTATATATTCTAAATCATTTGGTCCTCCAGGAATAGTTCCAATTTGAAGAAGAGTTTCAGTAAGATCTTGGTCACTTGTTTCTCGAGGATCGTCTTGTGTAAATGCAGAATATCCACCAATATGAATATCTTCTTTAACATTTAAGAAGTCATAGAGATAATTATTCAAATCACTTTTTTCTGCTTCATCTATTTCATATTTCATTGCATATTTCTCAACAATTTGATTAAATTGATAACAACTAGGTGAAATTCCCATTTCTCCATGTTCTGGAATTAATAAACAAGGTTTGTTTATTAGTTCATTTTCCTCATCACATTCGATGGTTGGTGCTTCTTGTAATTTAGATTCATCTTTTTCAATTGTTTCAAAATAAACAACTCTAAACTTTTCTTGTTTTGTTATATCTTCAAAATTAATTCCATACTCCCCTGAATCATCTACCAAAACATAAAATTGTAAAATTCCTTTTGTTGGATAATTTTCTAATGCCTCAAACTCTTCAAAATTGATTTGCATAATAAAAGACAATGGATTCCCTGTACTTAAATCTTTTGGATATTCAAATCCTTTTGGTAAATAAG